CGAGGCCTTGGGGCTGTACTCAGTCAGAGGCAAGGGGGTGTGGAGAGAGGCATCGCATTTGCTAGTCGGGGCCTGAGAGATTACCTGATGTTTGCGAAGTTTACAGTTATAACTGATCACAATCCTTTGCGGTATTTGGCGACTGCCAACTTAGTGGCAGTGGAGCAGCGGTCCAATATAGACTGGGGCGACAAATGCGGACGTACTGTCAAGGATACCGGTTGAATGTGAGGCAGAGCATGAGGAAGATGGGAGGGACTTCTTAGTGCTAGGGACGGAGGAAGTGCGTGCATGTCTGTGGCCTGGGGCACTGGAGATAGATGTTGATGAGGAACATGTGGAAGTTGGTAAATTAGCTAAGGTGAAAGGGGGAGTAGCTGGCTGCAGCTGGGAGGAAGTTTACTCACTACAGAGAGACGACCCTGACATTGGCCTAATGCTTCTGGCGATGGAGAAAAACTCCCGCCCCAGCCGATTCCAATTGAGTGTTTGTCAAAAGAAGCTCTTGCAACAGTGGGAGCGCTTGAAGCTATGACACCGGGTTCTGTTCCGTTATATACAGGATCCTAGGGATGGAGTAGGGGTGTTGCAGCTAGTGGTGCCTTAGGCTCTTCGTTGGCAAGTGTATTTGTCCCAGCATGATCATGGAGGGCATTATGGGGAGAAGGGAACTCTGGAGATGATGAGAAGGGGGTATTATTGGCCGGCGTTGTCGCAAGATGTACGGAAGTGGGCTGGACAGTGTAAACGCTGTGCATTAGCTAAGGATGTATTTCCGAGGTCCCGTGCCCCCCTTACCTGCAGTAATGTGGCTGCTCCATTGGAGGTACTAGCGATGGATTATACCCTTTTGGAGAGGTCCAAAGGAGGGTATGAAAATGTCCTTGTATTGACTGATATGTTTACAAGGTTTACCATCACGGTCCCTACCAAAGACCAGACTGCACACACTACTGCCAGGGCCCTGGTGAAGCACTGGTTCGTGTATTACGGGTGTCCATCATGACTTCACTCTGATCAAGGGTGGAGTTTTGAGGCTAGGGTTATTAAGGAGTTGTGCCATCTCTATGGGATTGCTAAAAGTCGAACAAGCCCGTATCATCTGCAGAGCAATGCCGTTTGCGAGCGTTTCAACCAGACAATGCATGAAATGCTACGCACTCTTCCCCCTGAAAAAAGAACGATTGGAAGGAATTCCTCCCTGAGTTGGTTCTGGCTTATAATTGTCATGTGCATTCATCCACTGGATACTCTCCATTCTACCTCCTTTTTGGATGTGTTAGGAGGTAAGGATGTAGAGGAGGAAGAGGGTGCTGACAATTTGGATGATTGGGTTTTGGCACATCATGAAAGGCTGCGAGTAGCCACGGAAGTTACCCAAGCTAATGCAGAGAGTTCCGCCCGGAAGAGAAAGACGGCATATGACAGGAGGTCCCATGCCACCCTAATCCGGCCAGACGACCGGGTGCTCTTGCGTAACCATAAACCTAGGGGGAGGAACAAAATTCAGGATAAGTGGGAGGCCGGGGCTTACATTGTGCTGAAAAAGCACTCTGATATTCCTGTGTTCACCATAAAGTCAGAGGCGGGTGGTTCCACAAAAGTGGTTCACCGAGACCAATTAAGGCCTTGCCCTTTCCCCGCTCCTGTCAGACCCTGCACTAGCAAGGATAAGCCTAGTCCTTTTAGCGATGTTGACACAGATGCTGATATTGTACTTGTCACACATACTACATCTACACCTCAGGAGGCAGGGGCTGAGCTAGTAGTAGCACCGCCTGAGCAGGGCCCAAGGGAGGCTTCTGGGGAGTCAGATGTCAATAGTGAAGACAGTGGTGCGATGTCACAGCCGCGAAGGAGCACTAGGGGTAACATTCCTGTGCGGTTTCAAGATTATGTTCTAGGTTGATTTTCCTTGGGTGTGTGTGCACGTGTGTACCAGTTTCCGCCCCACCTACCCTTTCTGTGAAGCCGCATGCCAGTACTTTGATGTTTGGTCTGACCATAATAGGTTGTGGAAGATCACCGGCTTGGCAGGGTTTAGCAGGGGGAATATAATGCGGGGTTATGGTATCTGGTCCCTTAAGATGGGCGCACATTGTGTGGTGGGAAGACGTGGCGGCCAATCCCGTCGTTTAGGGATAGGGGGAAAGAGAGCACAGGTTGAGGAAGAGAGAGGGGTTTTTTTTGGCGCATGTGCGGGAAGAAGGAGAGGGGTAGAAAAGAGTGTAGATGTGCGTTAGCTGAGGCGATTTTAGGGTGCGTTGCGTTTTGAGCAGCAGAAACTCTGCCGTGTCCAGCTTACTGTATTAGTTGTAGTAACAGCGGATGTGTAGGAGGGTGTCTTTAGTGGAATACGCGAAAGGTATAGGTACAGGTTGGAGCAAGCATTTTGTGCCCTGCCAGTTTGTAGATCTTCCAGAACTCCTGATAGCTAGGGTGGGATTGCATTGTGCGGTGGGGACGTTGCTGGTTTTTTTTTTGTTGTGTCCTGAAGAAAAGAAGAGAGAGGACTTCGGCTGAGAAGGGGAGTTGCTTTTTTTGCGTGTTTTTTTGTGTGTGTTTTGTGTTAAATAATTCGGGGAAAACGTCGCAGGAGCTACACTTGTTGTTCCGGACCCGGATCAGGAGGACGAACAGAAAAGGACCTAAAAGTTTCTCTGGGACTGAAGTAAAAATCTTCGGACTGCGTGATACGTGAGGGACGGGCCCTGCAGGGAGGTTTGAACATATGTTTGTACAGTTTTATAAAAAGCAGTGTTTTTGTTAGCATGTTCTAAATGTGAATGTTTGTAGTAAAATGGCAAAGCAACCCTGTTAAATATATTATTGCTGTTAATTAACTATCTTCTGTTGCTGGAAACATATGTGTCTTATTTTCCATGCTGTTTTGTTTACCCTGTCTGTATAGGGCTTCCCTGCATGAACGCTCTGTGGGTTGGTAGTACGGATGTATCCGTGATGGTTGTTTTATCCCCTTCTTTTAAATGGGCATAACTCGTAGTTCCCTGACTATCCGTTTAGTTAAATTTAAAGGGCGGAATCTGGTTTAGTCTTTCCGGGCATAGGGGCGCCTCCACTGTACTGCAGAGGGTGAGACATGGAGGGGGAGCACTTTACGGCTTCAGGCCCAACACGCACAGCAGGCTCATACTCTTCGGGTAACCGTGACTGTCTTAAATCCTGAAGCCCCTGTAGGCTCACTCTTAAGGTGTGCAGTATGGAATAGAGGTTCATTTGGTCAGGGGGTTGGGACCTAGATCTGCAGTACCCCTGCCCGGCCAGGAAAGGTTTCAATGCACAGCCCCTATTGGCAGGTAAGGACTACTTGCCTTGGTTAGACTACACTGTTAGACATTGCAAAGGGATTTTACAGTTTACAGTGTTGCTAGTAAGTTACTGTAATTTTGATTCAGTACTATAACTGTAATTTACTTTTACAGTAACTAAATGTTACTGTAAATAAATAATATAGTACTGTTACTGTAAAAATGATTTTAACAGTACACTACTGTAATCCATTACAGTACTACACTGTAATATTTTTTAAAATTTATTTCCGTATATTATTGGATTTTATAATTCCTATATATTATTAAATTTATATCCTACAAAATTACTAATGGTAATTCAATTCAATCCAAATACACAATCATTACAAAACATCAAAAATCTTTATGTAAAACATTGCGAATGCTTAGAGAACTTTACATTTAATAAAAAAATATATATATTTTTAAAACAAATACATTAAATAGCAAAACACATGAACTTTCACATAAAAAATATAAGTGCATTCAGTGCCACATGTGTATTTTAAACCTGAAAAAAGGCATTGTGCAAAAGCTGACAAGTGTGACACTTTGTTTACACTCAAGTTTACGGTTTAACATACAGAATAAATAAGAGAAACAACCATCAGTACAACATACAAACTTCATCTTGCAAAATTATAATTTCAAACAAATTGAGCCAATTAACAAACAGTATAACAGTATAAACTGTATTACAGTTAACAAAAACCGAATGTTCAAACATTGTGTCCCTAATATACAGTACACATAGTTAAAAGTTTAATCTAAGTTCCTCCACTCAAACTCTGTTAGGTGGCGAAGAAAGGATGACACTCTGTTGTTGATGACTGTTGTTTTCCTCTTCACCATTTCTCCTGTCTTACGACTCGTGCCAGTTTTTGCAGTGCATTTTGTTCCATCTCCTGGATTTATCCTCACAAAGAATCTTTAGCCAAGAGAAAATGCATGTGAAAACTAAAGCACATGTAATATATGATGAATATCAGGATGCAATACATCAATTTTGACAATAATGAAATGTTTCCATTATTGCATTTTGTAAAAACGAGTAACTGTTTCTATCAGAATTAGGGGTCGATATTTCAGGGCCAATACAGATACTGATTAGTATTAACCATGGAGACTCATAAGTGACATCTGGAACCAATGTGTATGCTATAGAATAAAAAACGGTGTGGTATAATGTAATATAAGAAATACTCCAAAAACCACAACAGGACACTTTTCCTGAAATAACCGGGAAACACAAGGGGCAGTGGTGGTCTTAAGCCACAAGACCACTGCAACAATAACAAATATGCTAACACAAAAATTCATTTAAATGCCTTTACTTACTGGCTAAACTCGTGTACAAATGTGCTGGGTTACTGATAAAAATTAAACCATCTACATGGCTAGTTGCAGCTCAGAGGAAAAGAAAATGTGTATTTTTGTGATTCAGGTAAACAACTATACATGAGACAACTGTGTGAGAATTAATGTGATGAAAAGAAAGACTTACCGTTGTATGAGTTCAAGTGTCGCACAGGCAGGCTCCTGGTATTCTATGTTGAAAACATAGAAACATGCAAAAAACACAGACAAGGCATCTGCAAAACTCAGGTGCTCCACCAAAATGTAGGCCACCTTTACATCAATGCTCACTATCCACTTTTTTGCAGAGAGGAATGTATTCCCTGAAAGACAAGAAATAAAAATTGCACACTCCTAAAAGGCATACTGCAAACATAGCACAATGACCTTTCTTAAAATTCTAAAATAGCCAAGTCTTCTCTTACCAAGCATTATCAGTCTCGGCGTGGCTGGCAGGGTCCAATCTTTCTCTATTGATGACTTTGTTGCGGTTTCCTTTAAAACACCAAAAGTCTGTGATTATTTCATAATAAAAACACAACTTGAAAATGACCAAATATATGTTTCATGTAATTCAGAAGACTATTTGCCTACTTACATCTACCAAAATGAAGATGGAGTCCTCCTTTTCAAGGAAGTGCTTCATCAAAAGAAGCACTACCGCTATGCTGGTCTGGGTCTGCTGCATGGTTGTGGTGTCTCCCTCAATGTCCTGTAGAAGACTCTGCATGTCTCTGTTCTGTGTCTGCCTTTGGAAGAAGTATATGATCCTCTTCCCTTTGGTTTGAAGAGCCTCTCCTACTCGATCACAGATATCAATACCTGTGAGAGTTTTGAAATGGGCACAGACTCCTCTTTTTGTAAAGAGAAAAGGCCACTGATCTTCAGTGTCACTGACACTGGGAGGAGGGCAGGTATTTATCATGTGACGTTGATAAATGAATGTCAGACTCATTGACTGGTCAACATCTGGCTTGTCCACAGCTCTGGGGCCAACAGAGTGAAATATAGCTGCCATATTTTTTCTTCTATCTTCTAAAGAGTCAGATATCTCTCCTTCTGGAAGACATCTTGGTTGCCAATTGAAGCAGCCATAGCTATCTACTTTGCACCGTACTGCTTTGGTGGTAGTGGTACTATCACTAGTTTCTGTCAATGACCTTGGTGTCCGTATTCTTGCAGTTACGTTGTTACGATTGACATGTTCAACTCTAGTCTTAAGTTTATTAACAAGTGAATAATAACCTGTTCCCAACTGTTCACCTTCCTCAGTTGTGTCTGCAAAGGTCAAAGGATATTTTGACATAATCATTTTTGCAATCTCTACACAGGCAGCCCTGTTGGGATTTGGACAGTGTTCCTGCATGGCAGCCACCACAGTTCTCACTAGAGCCCAAACGATAAAGGATTTTGAAGGCCGGTACCGATACAAATATTTGTTGGTTTTAAAATCCGATATTCTGATATATCGGCCGCTTGTCCGGGGTTCGGGTCGCGGGGGCAGCAGCTTCAGGAGAGGCACCCA